TGGGGTGAAATCCTGTCCGTCACCCACGAGGAGAGACTAATGCAGTGGAACCCTCTCTGAAGCAGCGAAACATGGTCGGGAATCGTCGGTCACCAAGCCATCCCTTTGAAAGTTCTTCACGGGACGATACGTCTTAGAATTTTTAACACATAGTGAAGTGCCACGAGATGGCTTACCTGTCCCGTTCCTACTGACGTACATTTATATTCAAAGTAGAAACAGAAATCACCTTCTACATAACAAAGTCCTGAAAATTGTTAGAGCTCTTAAGCCACGTGGTTCCTCAGCACCACATGAGCTGATCCATCCCAGTTAATGATCATGCGGACAGACTAGGATGTAACTGTAGACGCGTCGGTATTTTATATGTATCAAATTTCATTTTTAAAAGATATTTTTAGAGGACAGAAATGTTATAGAAGAAATTTTAATGTTCCACAAAAGTATAAAAAGTAGAAAAGGAAACTAGTGCATGTGAACTAAGACTCCATGAAAAGTACCCAGGGGTTGAAGCTGCACAACTTCATGGACAGAAGTCTGCATAAATATTTAAGCGATGTTAGTTCCTGAACATCAGGACTGAACATACAAGCAAGCCGCGGCAGGTCTGAGGTCAGAGCCCTCTGGAGCCCTCGTTGGGAAGGCCCGGCTCAGGGGGCTTCCGATACTGGTTGAGGAGGGGAGACATGCCACTCACCTCTCCCAGGGAGCCCCCAGCCACGGACTCTGGAAAGAACCACGGTGCAGAACATGAGGAGCAGCCACCAGGCGGCGGGTGCACCTGCGTCCCCTCCTGGGTCTCTTCTGCATCCCCTGCCTTTATCGAGGCAGCAGGGTCCACAAGTGCTCAGGGACCATGTGCAGGACACTCCAGGAAAGACCACACAATCTGAACTGGGAGCCACAGAGAGAGGACCTAAGGGGAAGGGCAGACACCCCACCCCTCCCCACGCCCTGTCCTCTGCTCCCTGCCCCCGGCAATCACCTGGGTCTGTGGCAGCAGCTGTGGTGACAAAGGCTGAGGGCAGGAACCAGCCCTGCGGGGGAACCTCCCCTCCATGTGGGGCTCCAGCAGGATGGGACCAGCCCTATTACTTCTTTCTCCCTCCGTCTTCCCAGCACTTGGCCCAGGCCTGCCGCAGCCATGGGAGTGCACAGCTCAGCAGGTAACTAAATCCCCAGCTTTCTAGCTAGAGAATGAAAATGAGGGTTCCCAAGGAGAAAGGACATTTTAGGGAGATTAGGGAGAGGGAGAGTCTTGGTAAGTGGTGTGTGGCCTCCTGGGATGCCCTGAGCTGCACACATGTGGATTTGAGCTCATGGGCAGACCTCAGCCTAGACCCTGGTGGTGCACACACAGGGCAGATGCAAACAGCCCTGAAGGCTTTGAGAAAGGAACTGGCTGTGGAAACCCAGACCACAAAATGTTAGTTGAAACTTGCAGCCTGAATTTAATTGGGTTAATGCTCACCAAAACAAACCAATACAAAATCAACATTCTTCACCGGAGTAAAATAAGATGCAGAGTCTCCTAACATAATATTCACGGTGTCTAGAATGCAATTCAACCTTACTAGGATATGAAGATCCAGGAAAATCTCAACTCGCTCAGGAACCAGCCAGCCCATGCCTATGCCAAGACGACTGAGATGTTGTGATCTGCTGACAAAAACATGAAAATAGCTGTGATAAAATAACTCCACCCATAGTCACAAACACTCTTAAAGCGAATGAGAAAGGAGAAAATCTCAGGAAAGAACTAGAAGATGTAAATGTAAACCAAATGGACATCGTAGAATGGAGGGGCAACAAGTTCTTTTGAAAAAAACTTCACTGGATGGGATTATAGAAGATGGTAAAGAAATATCAGAATAGAACAAAGAGTCCATGGATTTGAATATAGATCAATGGAAATTATCCAATCTTATCAACAGAGGAAAACATGAGAAAGGAATGTTTTAAATGAGATTATCTTCTTGTGGAGACTCAGTGTGCAGACTAGCTCGTAACTCTTCTGTCACTGGAGGGGCAGGTGAAGGAGACCTACATGGAGATCGATTCATAAATTCCAAGTAGCAAATATGGATTCTAGGCAAAGTATGAAAAGTTAACTATGTACATTTTATTTCATAGACAGTGATGCACTGTGTAAAACTAAATCACCCCAAATATAATGATAGAGATATGATGCAAATCAAAAGATGAAAAATAAAGCAAAAGCCATGCAAACCCTCATCAAAGACAGCGGGATAAGCCATGTTAGCATTAGGCAAAGTACGCTTTGAAGCAAACAAAATCACCAGAGATAAAGAGAAGAAATAAATAGTGACAAAAGGGTCAAGAAAACAACAATCCTAAACATGAATTCCCCAAGTGTCAGAACTCTAAAATACCTGAAACAAAAATTTAAAAACCCAAGTCTTTGCTGTTGTGAATAGTGCCGCAATAAACACACGTGTGCATGTGTCTTTATAGCAGCATGATTTATAATCCTTTGGGTATATACAAGGGTGGTTTGATAGATCAAAAAGTAAAACCGACTGATGCAATACATCATATTAACATTCTAAAGAATAAAAATGACATGATAATATTAACTGATGCCAAAAGGCAGTTGAGAAAGTAATATCAATCTATGATAAAAACTCAGCAACAAAGATTAGAGGAGAACTTCTCCAACCTGAACAGGGCATCTGCAGAAGGTCTACAGCTGGCATCACACTAGACAGTGAAGGACTCATGCTTTCGCAGTGAGATCAGGAAGAAGATAGGAATGCCCAGATTTTCTAATCCTATTGGACATTACATTTAAAATCCCAGTCTTACAATAAGGCAAGAAAAAGAAATAAAATGCATATTGATTGGAGAGAAAACAACAGTGTCCTTAGTTGTAGATGACATGATTTTACACCCAGAAAATCTCAAGAAACACAAAAACTAACTAACTAAATATCTCCCAGAAATAGTGAATGAATTTAGCAAAGTAGAATTTATGATCAACAAACCATATTTCTACATTTACATAGAAAGCCAATCATATTTTTACATAATATCAACGTATAATTGGAGATTCAATTTTTAAAAAAAATGCCTTTGTGTAATAGATCCAAACAATGAAACATTTAGGTATGAATCTTTCCAAACATGTGCAGGATCTCCATGTACTACAAGAGGCCTATGAAGACAGTTTTTGCATATATGTACATATGTATAAACAAATGGGTGTTGTGGTGGGTGGGTACTGTGGTGGGCAAGTGTTGACTCAGGTGTGGTGGGCGGGTGTTGTGGTGGGAAGGTGTGGGCTCAGGTGTTGTGCTGGGTGGATGTTGTGGTGGGCAGGTGTGGCTCAGGTGTTGTGGTGGGTGGGTATTGCGCTGGCCAGGTGTGGACTCAGGTGTTGTTGTGGGCGGGTGTTGTGGGCAGTTGTGGGCTCAGGTGTTGTGGTGGGAGAGTGTTGTTGTGTGCAGGTGTTGTGGTGGGCAGGTATTGTGCTGGGCAGGTGTGGACTCAGGTGTTCTGGTGGGCGGGTGTTGTAGTGTGCAGGTATTGTTCTAGGCACGTGTGAACTCAGGTGTTGTGGTGGGTGGGTGTTGTGGTGGGTGGGTGTTGTGGTGGGCAGTATTGTGCTGGGCAGGTGTTGATTCAGGTGTTGTGGTGGGCAGGTGTTGTGGTGGGCAGGTGTTGGCTCAGGTGTTGTGGTAGGTGGGTGTTGTGGTGGGTGGGTGTTGTGGTGGGTGGGTGTTTTGGTGGGCAGGTGTGGACTCAGGTGTTGTTGTGGGCAGGTGTTGTGGTGGACAGGTGTTGGCTCGGGTGTTGCGGTAGGTGGGTGTTGTGGTGGGTCGGTGTTGTGGTGAGTGGGTGTTTTGGTGGGCAGGTGTGAACTCAGGTGTTGTGGTGGGTGGGTGTTGTGGTGGCAGTATTGTGCTGGGCAGGTGTTGATTCAGGTGTTGTGGTGGGCAGGTGTTGTGGTGGGTGGGTGTTGTGGTGGGCAGTATTGTGCTGGGCAGGTGTTGATTCAGGTGTTGTGGTGGGCAGGTGTTGTGGTGGGTGGGTGTTGTGGTGGGTGGGTGTTGTGGTGGGCAGCATTATGCTGGGCAGGTGTTGACTCAGGTGTTGTGGTGGGCAGGTGTGGGCTCAGGTGTTGTGGTGGGTGGGTGTTGTGGTGGGTGGGTGGGTGTTGTGGTGGGTGGGTGTTTTGGTGGGCAGGTGTGGACTCAGGTGTGGTGGTGGGCAGGTGTTGTGGTGGGCGGGTGTTGCCATAGGTTTGTCACCTCTTCCCGCCCCAGGAAAGTACTGGTTCCCAAGAGCACTCCCAGGTGTTGGGTTGAGGTTTTCCACTGTGAGATCCAGCACCAATTCTGGGCCCCAGGAAATTCTCTCTGGACTATGTGCTCTTACCCCGTGCATGGATATTGAGCTATTGGTAGGTCTTTACAAATAATACTGGGTCCATTATTCTGAGAGGAGCTGAACTCCTTTGTGAGACATCACATCTGAAACACCAGGGTCAAAAGCCAGGTGAACTCCCGGCCTGCACTGTCAACCTCACTAGGTGCCAGTCTTCCTTGCCGGGTCCGGCAGTCTGCTGGCGAAACTGGACTCTCCCAGCCTTTCTGGGTCCGGCCGTCTATTGGCGAAACTGGACTCTTCCAGCCTTTCTGGATCTGGCTGTCCGCTGGCGAAACTGGACTCTCCCAGTCTTTTTGGGTTCGGCCGTCCACTGGCCAAACTGGACTCTCCAGGTTTTCCTGCATGTGTCACAAGCCAGTTGCGTTGTGTTGTTATTTGCAAATGGTAAGATGCTTCCATTTTTAGCCGTATTGTTTGATGACTTTTGGCAAAATAACAGTTGAAGAACAGAATGTAGTAATTGGCTACGCTGATCTCACTTTATTCCCGTTTTTCCTTTTTCCTTTTAATTTTGGTAGCAGCTTCATTGAGATGCAATTCACCTACCTTACGATTCACCCATTTACAGTGCACAATTCCTTGATTTTTAGTGGTTCACAGAGCCGTGCGACCATCACCACAATCAAAAGGAAACCCCACGCCCTTGAGTTATCACCGCCAAATTCTCCCGAGTCCTCAGCAGCCCGTCATCTACTCTCCATCTCCAGAATTTGCTTATTCTGGACATCGATAAAAATGAAATCGATATGTGGCCTTTCCTGGTGGCTTCCTGCCCGGAGCGTGAGGTTCCGAGGTTTATCGTGTGGCCGTGGCCACGTCTCCTTCCTTCCTGTGGCCAAGCAACTTCCTATAGTGCGAGATTGTTGCCACTCAGCACTAAAGAGGCAAATAAACGAATGCAGCAGCTCCTCACCCTGTGGAACCAAGCGGCTCAGTGTCCTGATTCCTCACTCCAAGGCCCCTTCACAAGCCACCTACACTGCACCTGGTTTTCTCCTTTATTCTAATTCATTTGTAAGAAATCTTTAAAGCGTCTACTTACTAGTTAATTGCATGTTGACAATTGTTTTTAAACAAATAATTTTCTATTTTGACATACTTAAATGTATTAATCTTTTTCTTTCCTTATTTATTTCTATATTTATCTTTTCCTTTATTTTCTTTAACGCTTTTCAGGATTTATTTTCAATGCTTATTGTTTATTATTGAATTTATGTATGGATTTATATCACTTAATTTATTATTTTGGATAATGTGAGGTTGGTGACTGTAATTTTTTTCCAATCTGTAATTGACTCCTTCTAATATTATTTATTAAATTGTAGATTTGTCTTTTTCCTTCCTACTTAATAGAATGTATATCGCATACCAATTCCTGTTGAATAAACAGTGCTCATTCCACTTTTATTGTCTATTTATTTGCCAGTGTCTTAATGTCCCATAAGGATAATCAATTCCCTATTTCCCCATCAGTCACCACCTACGTGTCCATAGTACACATTAATTTCAGAGTATGTCAGAGCACATGTTCAATGTTAGCTACTTTAAAAATTAATGTAGCAAGCCATGCCTTGTAACAATGTTCTTGGGACTATCACCTGATAGTATTAAATATCATGCAGTTTGAGAAGCAAGGTGCACTCAGCCACATGGACCACATGCACACACAAGACTCGGTGAGATATCAGGAATATTTTTTTCTTAAATCAGAAATCACTGGTTATTTTTTGATATTCTAAGTGCAGTTTTCTCCAAATTATAATTCCCTGGTTTCTTCCAAAGTATTCAGCCAGAAAGAGATATAAATGTACATTTGAAATTGCCCAAAATGATGACTGATATAGAATACTGTCCTTCTCTAAAATATCCAGTCATTAAACTTTGAAAAGTTATACTAGTGAGAACAGACAATCACCAGCCAGAGGGTATTAATTTGAAAGCAGACAAAAATGGTTTTATATTTCTATTTTGAATGTTCCATATAAAACAATTACAAATATCTGTTTTAGTGATCTGTGTCATAGTTAGCCTGCACTTAGTACAAGTACAAAATAACAGTGATTAAAATGAAAGCATTATACTTACTACTTTTTTTTTACTTTACACCATTTTAAATGAAATAATACGGCAAAAGAATATTTAAATGAAAACAACATATATACTATTTTTATGCAATGTTCAGCCCCCTTAGTTCAAAGGAAGATAGAAAAGAATGTTTATTATTCCTGTGAGAAGGAGGGGCACAGTCATTTCTATGAGTGTTTGACTTCAGGGTAAGTTACAATTTAAAATTTCCTACTGGGTTAATAGCAGGTACCATAAGTTCAGAAGAGCAGCAGTAATTACTTCTCCCAAATGCAGAGATTTATCGGGAATATCATGCAGCTTAGCATTACGCATATCCTGTTCTTCTCATTATGGCTTAAAATACATGCAATTTAATGTTACTTCTCCGAAAATATCCAAAGACTATGTCATAATCAGATTAGTATATTTGGCTATTTCAAGTTACATATTTTCTTCTTATAATTCAGTTTCTTTATGAAAGCACGTACAAAAAGTACGTGTATAACAGAGGATGACTGATTCTGAACATCTCTGCCCTGTGATGAACAGGACATATATTTAACAGATTTCTCTGGATTGAACTAGTCTGGGTGTCGTACATGGTTTGGTAATTCAGGCACTATGAAGAATTGTGTAAATCTTGAACAGGCTATTTTTCTTTCTAAATTGTCTAAAGATCACAGTCAATTACTTCATATATATATCAAGCTCTCTACAGCTTCAAACCATTGATGTCCCAGCAAATTCTATGTTCGCTTTATTTTATCTTCTCTACTCCCTTAATAATCAGCCTTGCTTGCTGCTGAGACCTCCATTATGTGCATGTGGCTTCCTGTTTCATGTGGTTCTGGATGCTTCTCTCTCTCCAGGCCTCTGTGCCCCACACTCTGCTGCATCTTACTCTGTGTTCCCATAATAGCTTCATTAAACTCGAGCAAACACTTCTCTTGCTGGGCTTGATTTCACTCCAGTACATGACAACAATTTGGACACTGTCTTAAGCACTCATTAACTCACAGTTATTTTAATGATCTACTTATTTATTTCTTGTTACTGACTTCTCCAGCTTCATCACAGGAGTCTGAGGATGAGAAGTGAAACTGAAGCCAGGACAGAGGATTACTAGAGCAATATGAACTACATTATCCTAAAAAATTAATAAAAAATTAAAAAATAAACAGTACTCTTTTTACATGAAGCTTAGTGTCTATGTTTGCTCTCCCTGATAAATTAATTCCTTACCTTGAGGGTCCTAGATTTCCCAAGCAAATAGAAGTTAGCTTTTCACAAACCCAGAGCCAGATAGCCTTAATGTTCCCTTCAGCTTGACCAAACTTGTGACAGTTTCTTCCTAATCAGGGGACCTTGTCCTCCCTTTTCTTAGAACATTTACTTTAGAAAATTCTCCAGTGTGAATTCTTCCTTTGACCCTTTGAGATGCAAATCTTCTCCCAACCTCTGGCTAGGTTTACAATTTAGGACTGTCTTTCTTTCTCAAGGAGACATCCCTTTGAAATGCAATCATCAGGAGAGAGAGAGCCCTCATCCCTTAACCTCTGTGGGAGGGCGGGAGCCTAACTTCCCTAAACACCAACTAGCAAACACAAAGTAATCCATATAATTCAAAGTTACCCACATAATTTATTTTAGTGAGGTCACTATATTAGTGTCTTTTCATGCTGCTGAGAAAGATATACCTGAGACTGAGCAATTTACAAAAGAAAGAAGTTTAATGGACTCACAGTTCCACATGGCTGGGGAGGCCTCACAATCACGGTGGGAGGCAAGGAGGAGCAAGTCACGTTTTACACGAAGGGCAGCAGGCAAAGAGAGAGAGCTTGTGCAGGGGAACTCCCTTATAATACCATCAGATCTCATGAAACTTATTCACTATCACAAGAACAGTATGAGAAAGACCTGCTCCCATGATTCAATTACCTACCATTGGGTCCTTCCCACAACATGTGGGAATTATGAGCGTTACAAGACGAGATTTTGGTGGGACACAGCCAACCCATATCCGGCAGCTATTTTATTTTAAAGTAAAATCAAATTATATAACTTAGAGTTATATGTCATAATTATATATTTTAATTGTGTATATCATCATATGTATACACACATACTAGTTCTATTCTAAAAGTTGAGTATGCTATTCTTATAATATAGCAAATGAGGTGCTAGCAAGCCAATGGGAAACCAGTCTCCACTACTGAAAATATAACTTTAAAAGAACGACCAGGAAGAGAACTTCTTAATATCGACAGTGGAGATTTTGTGTCAGAATATTAAGTCCTCTGGGCAGGCCATTAGAAATTGGTAGCTAAGGATCCTAAAAACACCACATACAGAAGTCACACTATAAAGTCCTGAAAATATTCTTAAATATGGTGAGAAGCATATCAACAGGTAAAAAGTATGTTTTTACTTCTCTTCTTGGAAAACAGAAGAAAGACTACTAGAAAACAACCAATGAAACATGGGAAGTTAACAAAGTGGGTAACACTGGTTTGTATTATTAGAAGAGTCCTTCAGAGTTGCATGTGACATGCAGGGCAAATGTAGAGTGAGCAACAGAATGCCTTGGAGATGGGACAGGATCTTAAATTAGGAAGGAACACATACATTTGATAAGGAAAACCTCCAAAGCAGAAACAAGCACAACAAATTCAGAGTCTCTCTACTTTGACCTCAAGCAGGGACACTCAAGAAAAGAAAAATAATCAGTTTCAGATACAGGGGAAAGAGTCTCAGGAAGCCATATGTTCATTATGTCAGTCAAGGCTGTTGATTACTAAATAACCAAAAGTACACTATATACTTTAAATGAAAAAGGGATTCATTATTGAATAAGTTGTTCATTGAATCATTAAATAATGATTGGAGGAACAGAGTAGCTGTGTATCTGCTTCTCCCGCCAGGTGCCTCCTCAGAAACATACAACCACATCTTACCTGGGGAGAAACCTCCAACTCTGCAACTTATGCAACTGTGGGCACAAAACAAGTATTTTGACTAGAGGAAAATAGCTACTACTGCCACCAGAAAGGTGCCATTCTGTGACCTGGCAGCCATTAGAAACCTGTGCTGCTGTTAATTATGAAAGATAACATCAATTCACTGCTCACATCTGCAAAAAGCAGAAGTTCTATACTGAATTTTTTTCCTTACACTATTCCATTCTGTAGAGACATCTCAAATGGGCCTATTTAAGTAACAAAAGACTCAGTTCTAACTCCAAATGGAGCTAGAAATATGTTTTGATTCCTTGCAAGAATGATAGAACTTGCATTTTCTTATACATAGAACGGGTATTCGAAATGCATTCTTTGCCATCCTTCATTTTATACTAAACTTTCAATAGCCAGCAGAAATGTACAATAAAATGTTTAACAAAACTTCATCTCATATGAACAAAGTCACATTTTTACATAAGGTGACATTGCTAGTTGAGTGTTCTTCAGCACATTATTTTCAATTTCAATTCAATTTTCAATCTTTCAATTCTAAGATCATTACTGACAAGGATCTATCTATCAGAGGAGTTTTGAAAATTAAAGAATAATATTATTTGTGAAAATATTTCTGGGGATAAGTTGATAAACACTTTGTCTTTTTAAGTTTTTACTGTATCAGGCTAAAAAAGAAAATCTGGTGATCTTCAGTTGCTCTACTTATTTTTTTCAATATTTAAAAATTTTAAAACTATGATATGATTTACTTATTGATGACGTATATTTTTCACTGACAATTTCAAGGCCTAGAGGACAAAAATCTTTTTCTATTTTGTTCGATTATGTTTGCCAGGAGATTGATATAGGGTAAGTCATAGGCCCGTAATAAAAACGAATGAATGAATAAATGTCTTTTTTTAAAAAATAGGCACAAGAGTTAGGATAAAACTCCTCTTTCTCATCCTCAAACACTGATTAAGTAGTTTGAATTAAATAATCAATTGCTAT